ATGGCCAAAAAGGTTTGTTTTAAAAGGGTCTATTAAAATACGTACTTCCTTTCTGCTCTTCCCCCAATTTTAAAACAGAAGATCAAGTTCTCCTATTATTCTCCCTCAAAATGTTAGGATCAATAAATTTCCCAGATAAATATATGCAATATATCAAAATAAATATTCCCCCAAGCTATTTTTAAAATACAGATGAACAATCCGATTAACATACTGGATAGTTACCATTCCAATACTACTAAGAAATATCCACTCAGATTTATCCAGATATTTTCAAAAACTTAAACTGTATCTTCTCTAGGAAGATGTGCAGTTCAGAGGCCACAACAGTGATTGGCTTGGGGAATAGCAGCGAATACTCTATTTGAGACGCAAAGGGGCAGAAAGATCTCCCAAGAGAGGATGGATGCGGGGCAAAAAGAAAGTCAAATCCATACGGGAAGCAGGCACTAAGAGGCAGGAAAAAAGAATGTGGAAAGACTGAAAAGGAAAACAGAGGAATGAAAACTCTGAGAGTAATAAAAACAGCAAAAGCCATAAAGACAGAGAAACAGCAGGAGGTGAAAGAAATGGTAGGAAGGGGGAAATTTAAATAAAAGGCAGAATAAAGGCACACAAGGAATGAGTCCTTAATCACGTTCCATTTTAATTTACACTTAAAATGCGATATAACACATACAACCTTTGCGTTGTCTCTCAGAAGAGACTTGGGAAGGATTTAAACCTGCTGACTCACCAGGAGGTGTAATCATGGATGCTGCAGAAATTGCTACAGTCTCCAAAGATGCCACAAACCCCCTTATTTTGAAAATTCGCATAGTATATATTCTTATTTCTTCTGGGGGAAAAAACTACTACTGTCTTTTAGACTGGGAGAGGACAGCAGGACTGGAAAATGAAGAGCTCCGCTTTCAGAAACAAAGCCCATGGACCTATTCATAGTGTCAGAATTTGCTAAACACGCACACGCAAAACCTAACGGAGTTAAACTCTTGTAACTTTGGAGTCATATTAGAAGGTTAAAAAAAAAAAAATAGCCAGAAGTTCCAAACATGTTAATGAGATGCATGCACAAAATGGCAAGGAGTTTAACCTTGCCATCATAGGTAGATCTAAAAGGGGCTTCTATGTGGTTGAGCATGATATAAGTACACTGTATAATTACATACATGCACACATATGATTTTCCCAAAAATCCAAAACCCTGAAATGTTTCCAGGTAAATTTTCCATCCCTTCTGTTAAGTACTTCCAAACAATAGTGATGATAATAATGGCATAAAACTCAGCTCAAATTTCAAAGTTGGACTGAGTGTACCAATGTCTGTATGTTGCAATAAATTAAAACAAAGCAGGTATTTGACCTCCTAAGATCATATATCACATATTTTAACTTCACAGTTATAACACCCTCTGCACACGGGTGCTCTGCTTGCTTTCCAGTTCCATTCCCATCCCCTGAAGACGCCTTCCCCAAAGAACAAAATGCCTCTTCCCCCATATACGAGTAGACATGCTTTTTCACTTACACTTGGTATGCAAATTTGGATCCAACCCAAAAGTTGCATCAATAAATCGGCATAAAACAGATCTGACATCTTCCTAGCATTTCCCTTTTCCTTGTTGTCCTACAATTGCTGCAAACTATTACCATATATATTCTACAGAAAGCCATCCCAGGAGGGGGGGGTGGCGGCTGTGGGTCCCGAGTTTTGGAACGTCAAAGGAGAAAGAGAGCAACTTAGAAGAGCCAAGGTTCACAGGAGGTGGTGTGCATAAAGCAATGTGGTTAAAATGCAAAGCAGCCGTGCTGCTGCCTGCTGGTAAGAGCTGCCCAATGACTCCAGTTCTTTTGGTGTGCGCAAAACAACATGCTGCTCCCTGGAGAAGCAGAAAAGCAGTTTCTGAATCCAGAAAAGCTTGCTACCGGTCATAGTCAAATCGACGGAGACAGTTAAGTATCCGCTTCAGAGATGGCACAGCTGTGGATATACTTGGCCAACCATTTGCTTTCAGGGAAAGGGCATTCGGAGGACAGGAGCTTTGAGTCCTTCAAAGCCTGGAGCTCCTTGTAAGGTAAAAAAAGCACACATGCAAAGTTCTTGCAGCAGAAAACAGTACGTTTTTGTTTTTTACACCAGCTTTTAATGGAGCCCAAGGAAGGCCACAATAACAAAAGACCAGATATCAACACTGAAGGAAGATGCTGAAACAGAGCTTCCAGGAGTTCTGGGATCTTCAGCCCAGCAAAAGTCACAAGCTGCATCACACATTCACGAAGACGCTCACTTCACATTGTAGTATACAGTGCAAGATCAGGCTCCACGCCGCAGTGAGACATGAACATGTAAAATACGGTAAGCCGGCCAACAATAAATACAAAATGGCGCCATTCCAGAAGAGAGGAGTTCTGCATTCTGCAGACACTGGGTCAGGAATCCACCGATACTTCAGAAGGAATATAGAAAGTCAATACAAGTTCAAGGTTACAGTATAAGCTATAAACAACACACAAATTGCATGTGGAAACTGTCCACCGGAAGCCCACCGTGATGAACGAGACCTGCTTTGATGCAAACCACATTCGTTTAATGGAGGGCTTACGCAGGAAGAAGCATGCAGCGTACAATCCTCTCCATTTAAAACACATTCTGTATAGACAAGAAACAGTGAAGCCGAGAAGAAAGAAAACAGACAGGGCAAGAAGTTCTCCCCAAGGGGAGACGGAGGGAGTGTTAAGACAGTACCCAGAGGAGGGCAGCTGAATTGACAGAACTGAGATCCTGTCTCACTAGTCAACAGTGAAAGCTGTGTAGAAGAACAGTTCCTGAATTAAAGTAGCTGAACATGGTTCAGATTATTGGATACATCTATAAGCACAATGCTTTGCAGGAGCATTTACGGTATACCAAAATCCTACTTCTCGCAACACACGGTGTTGCACGAGTAGTGAAAAATGTTTTCCTATTCAAAAGGTGCTTGGATATTCTTTTCAGGCAGCATTTTATCATTATTTTTTTATATATGATCTCATTCAACGTGGTTTAAGAGGAGGAGGAGGGGAAGAAGAAGAAGAAGAAGAAGAAGAAGAAGAAAGAAGAAGAATAGGTATATTTAAATAGGTGGGTGGGAGAGAGAGAATATTGTTTACAATAAGAACCCAACTAATTGCCTATTTGACTGTTTAGGATTTGAAATCTACAGGGGTTTTTTCTCATTTAAATAAGGAATAAAATGTTGCCCAAAGTCTAAAATTATCTTTACACATTTGTGCGTGGTTTTTCCTTTTCCTTTTTTTCTTAAAGTTAGATCTATAAATCAAAATAATTATCATAGTTAAAGATACAATTTGTATCAACAGTAAAAGGTAACTTTCTGGTTCTACAGGGTCTTCAAGTTGCAGCTGTGCACCTGGTTTATCAGCAATAATATGATAAACTAGAGCAGCCTTTGCAAAGACAGTGCCTTGCAGATGTTTTGGACGTGCTGGCTGGGGCTGGAAGTACAAAACATCTGGAAGGGGCCAGGTTGCTGAAGGCTCAACTAGGGAAACATCACATTAGGTCACTGCAGGGAATCCTAGTGTGTAAGATTACGCTCACTATGTATAAGTTACTGCCTGCAAGATCTAGTACTATTCTATCTATGCAAGATTACATTTTAGAAGAGCTAGCAGAACCCACGACTTAAAAACCAGAAATCTCCCTTACTAATACTAGAAGAGACGGTTCTGTCTGCTTCTAAATCTATGTTGTTTGCAGAAAGAGCCATGCCTGCACAATACAGCAGGCCAGACAAACTAACTTTGAGAACATCTACAGTATTTTACAAAAAGGATGGACTGTTCTCAGTTACAATGCTCTATTATACTATAGTGCAGTTTATAAAAAAATGTTGCATATCGTCAACACAACATAAAACCTTCTCAGGCCAGCCTTGATAAATAGCATGAAAAATAGTATCTTATATACAAAAAAAAATTGCATTGAGAACAATTAGTTTCATTTAAAAACAGGTATGAAAAAACCACACATTTTGTCCAGTATACCTGCGTATTAATTAGAGGAGCAAGAGACACGACAAAAACAAATCTCAGTTTCTGACTCATGAAAGTGTGGATAAGTTGCCTAAACTGATATATTGGTAGCCTAATTCTAGACAGTGTGAGTCGGATGAGCGCAACATCTTCAAAATCTGCATCCAAGGCTTTTGCCTTCTACATAATAAATTAATCATGGCAGATTTCTCCATCAGTGATTGCTCTTGCGTGCACCAAAAATTAACAGTGATAAACAAATAATGTCACTTAAAACCAAAAACCAACAAAAAAGTGCCATACTATAAAGTACTAATAATACACTGTTACCCATTGCAACATTAAAACTGGTAACTCAAAACATTTTTTAAAAAAATAGTCAGTGCTGTAAAAGACCTTTGTTTTCTATAAATAAAATGATTATAGCAAAAAGATCACACAATAAAATAACTTAATTGCAATTTTTAAAAAGTTCATAATAAGCTTAGCTTGGGGAAAAAACCATTTGCTGGGTGCATAAAATCCTCTTTAGTTTTCTGCAGCTTTTTTTTTTTTAAGAAAACTTTTTTTGCACTCTGAAGGACAAAAACACCCATTAATTTAATAAACACGTAACGACGTTATAAAAAGTGCTGCATATAAAACCCCCCGATGCACCAAAGAAACATATTAAGAGACCACAGATATAATAATATATTAAACTGGAAAGATTCATATCCAGTCATGAAATATTCTTCAAAAATAAAAAATAAAATCCAAGTGAGAATTTAAATTAAAACCTGTCATTTCCAATGCACGGGGTTGCACATACAGATTCCATGGCACAGTTATTTCACATAAATGGATTACTATATAACCTCCTTGCTGAGAAGGAGATCACACATGCTATTGTAGCAAACCTCCCTCAGCGTTACAGCTGAAACGGAACTATTAAGACACCGCAAAGATGCATCCTCCTCATGTCCTCAATAACCGAGCTGAGATTTCTCCACCAAAATGGCGGCAGCGAGCTGCTGAGCGTCCGTCATGTGAGGGTTCCTTTTCATGACGATCCTCACAAGATCTGGAGGGAAAATGTTGCACAGGTTGATGTAGACCTTCTCTCGGTTATCCTGGTACCGCGGCGGGTCTGGGGGGATCCCGCAGTAAGGGATCCGCCAAGGCTGATCCTGCTGCTCAGGCAAGCTTTGGAAGGCAAACTGCTCGTAACACGGCTGGCTGGGGTTGCTGGGCAAGGAGTAAGTTTGGCGGTAGCCGTACGCGTCGACCCCGTAGCCTTGCCTGTCCCAGCTGCCGAGTCCGTCCTGGCCGGAGTACGTTTTCCGATGCCTCAGCGGGGAATTATCGTACAGACGCGAGTCCGATATGCTGTCTACTCGGGTGGACACGAGGGCTCTCCCCAGGTGCCTGCCCTTGGAGCGGGGCGAGCTCTGGGGAGCCGGGTAATCGCCAGGGCAACTGGACCGAGCGCCGACGGCAGGATGCTGGAGGTGGACCGCCATGTAGGGAAGAGGAGATTTGTGGTGGTGCTTTGGTTCTTCGTGACTGTAGCTCTGCACCCTGGTCAGCGTCTCGTGGTAGCCCTGCAGGAAGGGCTGCGAGCTCAGGTGGCCGTGGGGGTGCATGTGCTGGCACTTCAAGTTCTCTTCCAGCTGGGGGTCGGGAGAGCTGACGTAGGACCGGTCGCTGTAGCCCATGTAGGAATCGCTACTGCCGCAGCTGGTGCTCCCTTCGCTGCTGCAGTCGGAAGCTACCGAGCTAATCCTGTAGTCGGTGTCCAAAGAGAAATGCCTTTCGGGACTTCGTGGGCCAGAGATGCTTAGGTTGGGGTATGCGTTCAGCATGGAGTAGTAGCCGGCGTCCACAGGGGAGTCACATTTGGGATATTGCTCGTAAGGCATTGGCGTTCCGTGGTTTTTGGTTGCCATCAACACTGGAGGATACGCCCCCTGCGCTCTTTGATCCTGAGGTGAGAAATGAACTCCGGAGGGAAGGCCATTGCTCAAAGGTGCAGTACTTTGGGGTTTTGCAGCAGCAGAGTTCGGTATACTAACGAGGGAAGGTACAGACCTGGTTTCCAACTTGTTTTTGGTGGGAAGCTTTTCCTCCAAGTCTTGGTAGACCTGAGTCCTTATGCTAGGATCCGATTGCCTCTTTGGAGTGGCTCGCTTGAGATCCGAAGCGCTATCTATCTTAGTGCTGCAAGGGACGCTGTTGCTCTTCACCAGACCTCCTTCGCTAGCAGCTTTGGCAGCTGTGCTCCTGGACATGGCGCGAAGCTCGTCCGCTACTGACCTCTGAGGCTGATTTCCTCTTTCCGGGTGGTAGTATTTGCATTTGTGTCCATAAGTGCATTTCTTCCCTGCAAATTTGTCGTTTGGAGATTTAAGTGAACAAAGGGGAGGGGGGAGAAAGAGATAATGTGATTCTTCACCGGCATGAAGACAAAAGGGGATGAAAATAACACTGAATCACAGGTCAAGGATGCTTTTAGGATAGTTAAACGTTCTGCAGTTAGATAAGATGTGGCATCAGTAATGCCAGCTGAACACAGAGAGAGTGTGTGTTTATACACACTGGTCTGTTTGCTGTTTATTACTCTGATTTCTAACTATGTAGCCACTATATTGCAGGCTACTATTATTCTCCCATTTTCAAAGTGAAGAACTCATGCTGTCTTGATCAGGCAGGGATTTAAATTTAGGTCTGGGGAACATTATACGCTCATGATCACAATGGTTTTGTGAACCACAGTTCCAGAAATATGCGTTCCAACTCTGGGAATGTCTTTCAGCAAAGCCAACAGGACAAGAACCTATTATTGAAAGGAAGTTGTAACAAAATTCCGCAGCAACGTTTTACAAAGACACGTTTTACACAGACCCAAACAAGCAATCGGGCCTTGTTTCTTAAAATATAATTAGTGTTTAGTTAGGAAAAGAAGGTTACCATATGGACATGGTTGCTTCTTATGTTCTGGTACAATAGGTTTCTTCCTCAGAAAATTATCCAGGCTTGGGCCATGGCGGCCAAGGGGGTCATCAGGAGGCATAAATCTATCAAGATATATACATATTTAATAATTAAATAAACAAGGCATTCAGTAACCCACATTCTTGGTCTTAACATCTGAAAAGAATACCACTTTCTATTTCTAAATAGGATATTAAGTATTCCCAGATTATTTCAGATGCATTCCATATATTGTTCTGGAAAACAAAACAGCCTTGTAAACTAGAGCTGCAAACCTAACTCAATTTACCCGGGAGTAAGCCACACTGAACTCAATAGGACTTATTTCTGGGTAGACATGATTAAGACTATATTTTGAGACTGAAACTCTAGCCTCACTCAATTAATTCACAAAGCCAGGCTACTCTAGCTGCTAGTGTCATAGCATTACATATTTCCCCCTTAAACTCAGTTCCAGCTTGTGGATCTCTACGCAGAAGACTTTTCAAACCAAATGTCAAGGTTAGCAGTTTACTTAAAACCTAACCAGTCAGCACTATTTAGAAATCTTTAAAACAGAAGAGCAGTACTTGAGTCGAATGTCATAGCAATCTACATTCATGAAGCCTCAGAAGGAGAAAAGATCTCATCAGTTCGAGAAATTGTTTTCCAAGACAGCCTTTGCTAACTTGGTGCAGTCCACATTTTTTGGTCTGGAGAGCAAGGCTGGCAAAGGGCGTTCTCAGACATTGATCCTATCTTTGTTTTTAGAAGCAGTTGTGAACATACAACTAACCTTTACACTGTAGACCTATTGAAATTAATGGACCTAGTGTAGTTACGTTCATTAATTTCAACGGGTCTGTTCTGAGCACGTAATTGTTGAATACAGACATGCAACTATTTGCCAGGGGGAAAAGGCTGCTTTGGTTCATGTACCAAAAGACCACTTGCTCATACCACAGTAATGAAGTGATTTGTCTTGGAACAGGTGAAGAAAGATTAGAGCTGCAACTCTATATGTAGCTACAAGAATTTTCAGTGGGGCAGGGGTCTCATAAATGCTCTGCATGAAAGGAGAGCAGGCTGTATTTTTATTATTGCAAAAAGCTGACCACCACCGAAGCACAAGATCCATTAAGCTTATTGCATGCGCAGAAATGTTACCAGGCATGTATGTATGCCTATAAAATCCAGTATATGCTCCAAGTCCCGCAGCCAATTATTTTCCAGCAAGATTTTTTTTAAATAAAAAAACTACAACTTACTTGTCATTGACAAATGAATACATCAGCAGCCGTTCATCAATGAACTTCTTCCATTCTGGCTTTTCATTTGCAAGATCCCTGTAGTTATCGTTTGACACAATTATGCCATCCGACTCAAAGGCCAACTTCACTATGAACCGGTCGTCATAGCACACCACCCTTCTCCCCTGAACACGGCGGGATGGGGTGAACACCAAAATTTTCTCTTTCTCTAATTTACGCAGGATTTCTTGGTCTATATATAGTAAAGGGGGGAAAGCAGAGCACTGAGGTCAGTACTTTATTCGGCCTACAACTGAGCTCAGTTACAAGAGAGCAGATGTTCAGAGAAGAATGACTTAACAAAAGCACTTCTGAGTCTGCTGGAAGAAGATGACTAATATTCAGCAACGCATTAAAAATATATAAACATAAATTACATTTGCCAGGATCTACAGTCATGCTTACACTTAGGAGCAAGGAATACTGAAGTTAATTCTAGTAACACATATTAAACAGGGGTTCTTGATTTCAAAGATACTTAACAGAAGAACGGAAAAAAGTTCCCCATTTAAAATATAATTAAGCACAAGCTATGTTTTTAAAACATATAATTAAGCACAAGCTATGTTTTTAAACCAAATGTCTATCAAAATCAGGATTTGAGCATCTTCCCTCTCCCAGTGATACAATCTTCCCAGAAAAATGCATGCTAAAGAACAACCTTTTGCTCACCTCGTGTATACTGAGTGTTAAAGGGAAGAGTCTAAAAATTTTGGGCATTATGTGCATACAACTCTGAAAAATGTTCAAAAGGACTTGGACAAGGTTTCAGTGCAAGGGCCTTACATAATTAACAAGCAGCTTTTGAGAGGCTCTACAACCCTGCACAGACTCATTCATATGAATTTTTCTCTGTACAAGCAATATGTTACAACCATAAGGAGAATGAATTATTGGCCACTTTACATGTTTATTTATTAGTCTTGCAGTACTTTAGCGGGGAGGCAAATCACAGGATCAGAAGCAATGTAGTGATATTATTTCCTATGGTGTCTGGATTATAACTCATAGCTCTATGGCAAAATGTATGAGGCCAGCCTGATGTGTATTCTGTGCAAAATACTGTGCACTCTGGAGTCCCATAGCGTTGCACTCAACTTTTACTCAGAGCAGACTCACTGAAATTAATGGATAGTCTACTCTGAGTAAAAGTTGGTTGACTAGCAACGCTTTTCAAATCAAGCTGTTGAAGGCAGAGCAAAGTATACCTGTGATGAGAGCATCCGGTCGGGACTGTTCCTTCCTCCATGCTGGCACAAACACCGTGACATCTTTGTGGCCTCTTTCCAAAAACCAGTCCACCGCCAGTTTGATCCCCCGACAAGAGAATACTTCTTTGTTTCCATGGCTGAAATAAACATCCCCAAAATCACCGTCCTCCTGTATTACAACCTTCACTTTTTCCAGATGAATATGAATGGAATATACCAAATACACTGGATTATTACATTTGTTTTATTAATTTACAAATTGCCTTTTGTTTAAGTCCCAAGGTGATTTGCAGTCATACAAAAATACCAGCTTAAAATATGTTTAAGAAATGTATATATAACCACCCAAGACACAGAACGTCCAGACGGAAGAGCCTGATGAAACAAAAATGTATCCAGTTGCTTCTGGAAACTATAAACAGTGGCTGCATTTTGTATCTGTTAGAAGAAAGCAGGGGCAGCCACAATGCAGGTCCTGCTCCAAGATGCCGTGGGGAACTCTCCTGCTGAAAGCAGTGACCTCTTGGATACTTAAAGGATAAGGTGGGTCTCTCAAGTAACCCGGCCACAAGCTGTATCGAACCTGTACAAGACAGCTGAATGGCTCTTGTCAAACCAAAGTGAACAGTAAGTAGTGTACATACTGCACAGCCAATAATATTAACCCGTAACAACTGGCCTTTTCATTTCAAAGTACCTGGAAAATGTGTCTCCCCCAAAAGCAGTGCAATTATCTAATAAAGACCATGCTACTTATACAATAGATACTACAGCTCTGAATGTCAGCATATGCAGAGCCCAAGTCACCTCGACTACCCACAAATATCTGAAAACGGGACACATTTACCTCTCACGTTAAACCAGAAACATGAAGCCTATTTCACACCAGCTGGTAACAACTCAAAAAGGGAGCAAACCAAGCCACACATGCGTGACAATGCACATGAGTTTGGGAGTTCCTCTCACACACAGCCGCATCAAATTGGAATTAAAACAGAAAGCAGGGAGTCTGGTGGCAGCCAGGAACATAGATATGCTTGCAGAACAAACTATATTTATTAGAATCCAATAAAATTTATTTTGACCTCCTTACGTCCTCAATATTCAAATCTGAAAAGATGACATCTGAGTGTTGCACAAAGTTACATTTACCTCACGGTACATCCATAGCTTTTGTGAACCGCAGCCAAGACCTGCAATTCCCAAGGTGACGTGGTCGGTGGCAACTCTCACAGAAAGGGCAGAAGTGCTGTGTAGCTGCAAACCCCTGCCAAGGTTTTATCAGGATATTCCTCTATGATCACGTATTTCAATACGGCTAAAATCTGGTTTGGATACTTCCAAACAACTATGCAAGTTTGTCCTAATAAAACCTGGGGTACAGCTATATTAGAGCTATTTATAAATGGGTTATGGGTTGCCCGATTGAAAACTTGGGAGAATACTGTGCCCTTGGGAAACATGTCTTGCTAGTACAAAAGAGAGCCAGTGCAGTGTAGTGGTTAGAGTGTTGGACTAGGACCTGCCAAACCAGGGTTTGAATCCTCACTTGGCCACCAACCTCACAGGGTGACCTTGGGCCAGTCGCTGCCTCTCAGCCTAACCTACCTCATAGGGCTGATGCGAGGATAAAAACAGGGAGAACAATGTGTATCACCTTGAGCTCCTTGGAGGAAAGATGGGGTAGAAATGTGATTAATAGTAAATAAATGAATACTAACATCTTGGTGGCCTTTTTTCCAGAGCCAGCTCACCGGCAGTTTCATATCCCAACAAGATAATTCCTCATTTCCAGGGACGAAATATTTACAAGAGTCTTTCCGTGACCCGGCTGCCATCTTTCACCTCCCTCAAGGAAGCGTGTGGCTTTCCCCTTGACCAGAAGTCAAGGAACAGGCCTTAACAAGTCAAGAGAAAGGGCTGCAACTCACTGGTACAGCACACGCATTGAATGAGGAAAGGCCCAGGTTCAGTGGCTTGGAGACTGAAATATACCCGAAGTCGAGAGTTCTGAATCCTATTGTTCTAGGACCAATCAGACTGCTGCAGTCTGAATCCTATTGTTCTAGGACCAATCAGACTGCTGCATTCTGAACTGCATTCTGAATCCTATTGTTCTAGGACCAATCAGACCGCTGCAGTCTGAATCCTATTGTTCTAGGACCAATCAGACTGCTGCATTCTGAACTGCATTCTGAATCCTATTGTTCTAGGACCAATCAGACTGCTGCATTCTGAATCCTATTGTTCTAGGACCAATCAGACTGCTGCATTCTGAATCCTATTGTTCTAGGACCAATCAGACTGCTGCATTCTGAATCCTATCGTTCTAGGACCAATCAGACTGCTGCATTCTGAATCCTATCGTTCTAGGACCAATCAGACTGCTGCATTCTGAATCCTATTGTTCTAGGACCAATCAGACTGCTGCATTCTGAATCCTATTGTTCTAGGACCAATCAGACTGCTGCATTCTGAATCCTATTGTTCTAGGACCAATCAGACTGCTGCATTCTGAATCCTATCGGTCTAGGACCAATCAGACTGCTGCATTTTGGATCCTATTCAACTCAGTACATAACACAGACTCTTGTCTGAAAACCTGCAGAACCATTGCCAGCCAATATTCAGCTAGATGCAGAACTAGTCTCTGGGTTACCACAAAAATGGTAGAGGTAGCATTTTCAAGAGCAGCTTATATGCACTTTTGTCTTTGGACAGCTCAAAGGGCAAATAATGGAATATATACTACCTGTGCATGTTTCTGAGAGAAGACTCGCATACCTCAGAACAGCTCCTCTTTGAAGCAGGTGTGCACTTCACAACTCCAATATTTCATATACTTCTTCAGAAACAACCATGCTTACCAGAAGCACACTTCTATCCTCGGAAAGTGAATGTGAGGAGCATCCTTGTGAACAGTGGTTCTTAGGGATTTGAGCGTTTTGGAAAAACAGGAGGATGTAATACACAGAAGTCCTTGTTAAGACAACATTCAGCCAGTATATGGAAGACAATCTTACTGGGCTACGAGTGATCACCAAAGAAGGAGGAGGAGGAGGAGGAGGAGGAGGAGGAGGAGGCATAAGTGCTCTGTTCCCTTACAAAGTATTTACTCAGGCTTCAGTTAATTTCTTCTTTCTAGTTTAATGACACATCAGTTTAAATGATCTCACTTTCATATCGTCAAATCTTAGTGCTTCTTAATCCAGGAACACCCTGTTGAATTTCATATTGGTATTTTCTGACTAGCACTTTCTCCTTAATGCATAACTGTTGAAGTCACTTTCTAGTCTTCGCATACAAATTCTGAAGTCGGGAAGAGCGGTGGGATTGAGTTCCTTGATGTGGGGGCCACACATCATTAGAAAAAGTCAGAAGTATATAAAAAGTTATTTATCAAGACAACACCAACAATAAATTCCCAAAAGCAACCATGCTTTAAGTTTGGAAACATCTTTAGTGTATACAGAACAGGGACGTTGTTTTACTCCCTTTGTAAGTTTATTCATTTCAACCAACATATCAGAAAAGAGAACTCAGCAAGCCAATCACTAATAACTGCTAGCAGGATATCTCAAATGTTATTCATGCTACTCTGGCTCTTCAAAAGGAAACTTCCCATTGAAATTATGGGTCCAGAAAAAAGCTGGGATGTGTGCTAACTTTAAAGCACCCGGCCAAAGTAGTTAGAAAGGCACAGCTTAAAATCCTAAAAGATCTGTTCTGAAATGTAGTCTATGATCATCCCAATATGTGCTAATATATGTCTACTTTATATTGACCATAAAGTTCTCATTTGGGAGGAGTTCAAGCAATATCAGGTATGCAAGACTTCAGCAAACTCCAAAGAATAAGGGACCAAGGTGGCTTTTTTATCATTTGAAGTGGAAGTTTTATTTTCAAGGAATCATCAGATAGTTCTATGCTGGAATACATGGAGCAACTATATCATTTGCACACCAGAGAAGCCTACTAATTACTCCATTCCCATTGGCAAACACCAATAATTTATTATAAACTTTATTCAGATCCACTATTTTTTGGATTTTCACTTTGCTGTGCATTTTCTTTTGGGTTTTATAGTTGCTTCAGGGTTTTAAGGTGCTGATTTGATTTATATGGTAATTATAAAGGGTGTTATTCCACTTTACTCAGGGTACACCCATTGAAATTAATGGACCTAACTTAGTCATGTTCATTAATTTCAATGGGTTTACCCTTGAGTAAAACTTAAGTCAACTACCACCTGAATTAATTCTAAACCCTTCTTAAAAATGCTTCATTGTAACGCCTATGGAACCAAAACCATTCCTCCAGAAAACATAGGGCATAACCCAAAACAAAGTCCACATACTTTGAAAGGAATGCACTATTCCTGTAAAGGCTGCATAGTGAGTTTTGGTCCTACGTTTCCTTTATAAAACCCACTACTTAGTTCTAGCTTTCATAAAGCACAAAACCTAATCTGATTGATACATTATTATGACTGTAAAACAGTGGTTGTCTAGGACATGGGGAGCCACACTGGTGTGGCAGGAAGATTCAAGGACAACCAAAGAAACATCTGAATATTTCAGTGTAGTAAAGGTAAAGGGACCCCTGACCATTAGGTCCAGTCATGGCCGACTCTGGGGTTGCGGCACTCATCTCGCTTTATTGGCCAAGGGAGCCGGCGTACAGCTTCCGGGTCATGTAGCCAACATGACAAAGCCGCTTCTGGCGAACCAGAGCAGTGCACGGAAACGCCATTTACCTTCCCACTGGAGCGGTACCTATTTATCTCCTTGCACTTTGACGTGCTTTCGAACTGCTAGGTTGGCAGGAGCTGGGACCGAGCAACAGGAGCTCACCCCATCGCGGGGATTCGAAACGCCGACCTTCTGATCGGCAAGTCCTGGGCCCTGTGGTTTAACCCACAACGCCACCCATGTCCCTATTTCAGTGTAGTACTGTATAGTATATTACCAACATGGTGTTTTTTTATTTGCAGACTTTTCAAAATGAGAGCAAAAGCATCAGGCGATATTGAGGACAATCCTAGCTGTGATCCAGAATCGTCTTTCAACAGAGTGCTGGAGGGTATCTTGACTATTCTTCTACAGTTCTCCATGCCATGTTGTTGTGAACAAGGATTTTCAACTCTGACAAATATGAAAGATCAGAAATTTTTTTTGTCTCAAATTAGACCTAATATAAATGAGATTACCCGGCAAAAGCAAGCTCACGCCTCTCATTTGAGGTTGTGTGCATACTTAAGGGACACATGTAAGAGGCTTGTTTATAATTTTATTTTTGGAATGAATATTGTAGCTGCATTGTTTTATACTTCCTGGATGCCCCACGATCACATTGTAAAGCAGTTGTGTTCTCTGTTACCAATCAAGCACTGCAAGGAATTGTTTCTTTTTTGTTTTCCAATGTATTTCTTATCAATAAGAAATGTGGTGTGGGGCGAGCAAATTGTTATTCTGAAAGCGTGGCTCAGAGGGAAAAGTTTGAGAACCACTGCTGAAAAGACTTGCTGGCTTAGAGCTGGAAGTCAAGGCTCTTGCAAAAATCACATCAGTGATGAGTCACCCTCGTTCTTTGTATCCAGCAAAATGCACAATTACTTTGAATTCATGCAATTAAGTGTCAGTCATCTGCAGCTGTAAAGAGAAAGTATACCTGAACGGCGAGCAGCTTAGCTCTGAAATATATTGCCACTGATTTTATAACTGTGTTTCCCCCATGACTTGTAGCTATGAGATGTTATGGCAAAGTCACGATTATTTGGGTGGGGGGTGGGGCGGGGAGTTATTCTTTTGGCAGCAATAGTAACAAAAGGCACTTCTCTGTACCCTGAGCTAGGAAAACAAATGTCATGGGGATGTAAAAGTCGATTACTTTAGCCACCAGCAGCTTCTTGGAAATGGGAACATGTCACTTGACATAATTGGATGTACTTTTAAAAACAAGCTTAGCGTGGTTCAGTACTCCGAAGGCAGCTATAAGGTCAGCTCAACGAAAGCCTGATTCCATTAAAGGCAGTGGGGAGTCTGCAATTACCTTCACTAGGATTTTAAGATCAGTTCTTTATCCTTACTATAGGGCTTACTAAAAAAATAATTTGGTTGTATCAGCTTCAGCATTCTGGCTAAATGTCAACTATATAATTACATTCAATTCACATAAAATTGTCCTTTTAGCAGATAAAAGATATTGGGTTATATTCAGGAGTGGTTCTGTATGTTGGAGTACCCAATTTATGCCAGTTATCCTCAACTAGTTAAGCCCCCCTCCAAGGCTGTTCTGGGGGTGGGGGTGGGGGTAGAATGCCAAACAGCTTTTCCCAACATGCTGCCCTCAGGTGTTTTAGCTTACAGCTCCCATCAGTCTTGGCTGCAGTATGGCTGATCATCAGATAAGGGAGACTGTAATCCAGGCATCTGAAAAGAACCTAGTTGAAGAAGGATACTCCAGAACATAAAAGGAGAGTCACAATGGAAAGTTACAGCAGGTAGGTGGGAGCGGTGGAAACTGGTTGCCCCAACTTGCCAAAGCACTTTCCACCTGGACAAATCCACCAGTGGATGCCATCCAATATTTCATTTGTGGTTCTTTGAGTCGTTCCAATAAAATAAGAGGCAAGCTAGATCAATTTGGTGGTGGGAGAGGAGGAGTGAAGTTTTCTAGTTATACGTAGCTTTTCAGAAAGAGTGTCAATTAACATTCTGCTTCATCTACCAGATCCTGGAATTCCTTAGGGAACTGTGCATAGTCAAGGCTGCCATGCTACAGGGTGAAGAAACCTGAATTAAGTAACCACAGGTGCTGGGGGGAACGACATACATGAAACCAGGAGTTGGTGTCTGAACGTTTGGATTCTAAAACACGATATGCTTCGGCATAATGTCTAAATCTACCAGTGTATTATGGGACAAAATTACTATGAGAAGTGCTGTAGGCCAATATACCTGCTTGGGAAGGGTAAAGTAAAGGTAAAGGGACCCCTGACCATTAGGTCCAGTCGTGGCCGACTCTGGGGTTGCGGCGCTCATCTCGCTTTATTGGCCGAGGGAGCTGGCGTACAGTTTCCGGGTCATGTGGCCAGCATGACTAAGCTGCTTCTGGCGAATCAGAGCAGCACATGGAAATGCCGTTTACCTTCCCGCCGGAGTGGTACCTATTTATCTACTGGCACTTTGACGTGCTTTCGAACTGCTAGGTTGGCAGGAGCAGGGACCGAGCAACAGGAGCTCACCCTGTCGCGGGGATTTGAACTGCCGACCTTCTGATCGGCAAGTCCTAGGTTCTGTGGTTTAACCCACAGCGCCACCCGCATCCCTTGCTTGGGAAGGGTAGATGGAGATAAATCGCCAAGTTTCCTAAGCTGTCCTCCTTGTGCTAACCTCTCGATGTTCCTTCAGTGTTAGACATGAAGCTGCTGACCTGACCTCAATGCCTCTTTTCCTTCATGCCTTCCTCGCGACAGAAGACACTCTCAAATCTCTCTTCATCTGAGCTGCAAGAGCAAGCATGGCTCAAGCCATCTCCACCTTAGTTAGAAGGAACTGGGGATGTTTCCTATCAACCACATATTGGCCAGTAATAAATGTAGCTTTCCCATTTTACCAAGTCAGAATCTCAGTTTGATTGTCAAGCATGCTCTTCCTGCAGGAACTCTGCACCAAGCTCATCTCTGCTGAGCTTTTAAACGCCAAATAACATCCAAGAAGAATATGGAAACAGTCACAAGCGATTAGTTCAGTACAGTCTAATATAATACTTTGAATACATTATATGTCATAAAAACAGACTGGGGACACTTTTGTGATGTATAAATTGGATCTGCTATATTCATCTATCATCCTATCATCATATTTCCTGACATTTCACATTCTGTTTTCTACATCCCAATAGTGGTATAAGGAGCTTTGTTGAGCCAACATGGTTAGCTCAATATTTATACGTGCACACGTACATTTTCCCTTCTGTATTCGCCCTTGCAGTACTGTTAAAAAGGTAAAGGGATCCCTGACCGTTAGGTCCGTTATGGCCAACTCTGGGGTTGCGGCGCTCATCTTGCTTTATTGGCCGAGGGAGCCGGCGTACAGCTTCCGGGTCATGTGGCCAGCATGACTAAGCCGCTTCTGGTGAACCAGAGCAGCGCACGGAAGCGGTGTTTACCTTCCCTCCAGAGTGGTACCTATTTATCTACTTGCACTTTGATGTGCTTTCAAACTGCTAGGTTGGCAGGAGCAGGGACCAAGCAATGGGAGCTCACCCCGTCGCGGGGATTCGAACCGCCGACCTTCTGATCGGCAAGTCCGAGGCTCTGTGGTTTAACCCACAGCGCCACCCGCGTCCCTACTGAATATCTGCCATTACTTTGGATAATCTTGTGCACGCAAAGAATCTTAGTTCAGTTTTCATTCTACTAAATTTCTGCTCTCACGGTTAAAATACAGAAAACCCCACACGGAACATGAGACAAGTCTGCTGAATCAAGCAAATGGCCTATCTTGCTCAGCATCCTGTTCTCAGAGGGGCCAACCAGATGCCTGTGGGAAGGTCTGCAAGGCTGGACATGAGTGAAACAGCCCTACACCCAACTGCAATTTCCAAACTTGTATTAAGAGACATATTGCCTCTGACGGTGGAGGCAGAACATAGCCATCGTGGCTAGTAAATGTTGATAGCTGATAGCACTGCCCTCTTTGAATTTGCCTGCTCCTCCTTTAAAGCATTCGAGTTGAGAGCAAGTTCATAGCTTAATGTGCACTGTGTACAGAAGTACATAATTTCATCTCTCTTAAGTTGTCCAACAGTCAGCTTCATTGAATGCCCAAGAGTTCTAGTGTTGAAACCAAGGGAATCTCTTCCTCAGTTCTGAATACACTTTCCCATGGAAAGGGAAAGCAAGCTCTCATGTACGGCTTTCCAACACAAGGGGGATTCAAAATAACCATCTCAGAGGGAATGCCTACTCTCTATAGTGAAATATAGCTTTCCTTATGCTTTCTCAAGCGGTATATATCTCCAGCCATTAACCATTCAGGCATTTTTCACAGTGCAACTCTATACATGTCCACCCAGAAGTAAGTTGCGCTGAATTAAATGGGGCCTGCTCCCAAATAAGTGAGAAAATGATTGCAGTTTAAGTCTTGTGAATGTTTTAGAAGCCCTTGGTAGTTCAGGAGGTAGGTTTCTTTTTCTAAATGTGTATAGGATTGAGTTTTATTGCTACTGTTGTGTTTTTGGAAATCTGTGACTAATCTTGTGTGATAACAGTAATGAAATTTTTATTTTTCCCTTCTACAGAACGTGTGTATGGTGTATATGTCTCCTGTGCACTGCTAATAGTATGCTTTGCACCAGGCTTTTGTTTGCTACCGTGACACTGAAGTTGATGAAGGACTCAATAACCTCTCATATTTTTCAGCAAGTTTTATCGTTGGAATTTTAAACTATTTTTAACAGGTTGTCGCTCAAGTTCATGAAGTAATGGTGCATATTGTGATTTAGCAATGTAAATGTTTGCTTACTATTCTGTTTGCTTCTTACTTGATGGGGAACTATTTTGAGTGGATTATACTCTACCTATAGGTAAAAGTAAAAAAAGGTAAAGGACCCCTGGACGGATAAGTCCAATCAAAGGCGACTATGGGGTGTGGTGCTCATCTCGCTTTCAGGCTGAGGGAGCCGGTGTTTGTCCACAGACAGCTTTCCGGGTCATGCGGGCAGCATGACTCAACCGCTTCTGGCGCAACGGAACACTGTGATGGAAGCCAGAGCGCATGGAAACATAATTTACTTTCCCGTCACAGTGGTACCTATTTATCTACTTGCACTAGTGTGCTTTCAAACTGCTAGGCTGGCAGTCTACCTATATGCAGGGGTAGCCAAAGCAGTGCAGATGTTAGAATCAGAGCTGGAAGAAGGGACCCGCGTTTGTCAGAGCACCAACTCCCATCAACCCTGGTTAGCATGGCTGATCGTCTGGGATGAGGGGAACTGTAATCCAACACCATTTGGAAAGCACCACATTGGTTATCCCTGATCATGTAACATCACAAGTAACAGAAGGGCAGTAATATGCTCACCTGTTACAACTGAAACCCCAATACACAACGGCTATCATTCCACTGTAACATACCTCATTGCCACATTGCTGCCATCGATAACTATAGGTCTGAGGTTATCACCATCCACTGGCACATCTTCCGGAAGCGGGGAGTCAGATCTCTGAGACTCAACAGAAGATGCTTCTCGCATTATGCTAGCGTTAATGTTACTTACACTCTGATCCGTCTCAGTTTTATTTCCAAGTTTGACAAGTTCTCCCAATATATCATTGATTAAAGCATCAGTACCCAGCTTATTCAGGACAAGTTGAACCTGTTCCTCAGAATAACCTAACTTAAGTGCAAACTCCAGTTTGGTTTGATACTCTTTCACCACGTCAGGAGGTTTCTTCAGTTCTTTAGACCCTATCTGAGCTTCCTCCAGCTTAAGGTCTTGCAAGATTTCATTGCGCTTTAATATATGTGGTTCTAAGCAAGGAGACCTGCACAGTGGTCTGTGAGTCTTAGGTAAGAAGCATGATTCTGGTCCAATTATAGCTGGTCGTTCCAATTCATTATCGGAATTTGTGCTCTCCTCAGAATCACAACTGGAGCTTCCAGTTTCTTCAGAAGTTTCCTTGTTAGCATCCTCCTTCCTAGAGTTAACTTTATCCATGGTTGGTTTCTCTACCACTGACCAAGGTGCAATGGCACTTATTTGCGTCTCAGTGCTGTCCTCATAGAGGTGGCCTAGGTCATGCCTCAAGTGATCCTTCAAGCCCATGAAGCTGCTGCATGTACTTGACTCCACTTTGTTGGTTTTCCTGTATTCCGGGATATAAAGTATCCTGTATTCCTAAAGAAGAAATAATAAAGTTAGAACTAGGGATTTTCTTTCCATTTGGAACTTGTCTTAAGATTTAGATTTTTCCCTTCTTAAAGGGAGATTCAAACCACTCTCTTTTAATCACCTCCCGGTGAGATCTATTTGGAACTCAGCTCTGTGAAAGGTCCAATACATACTTGTATCACAGGCAAATATTAAATTGTCAAGATTCCAAAATGAGTTTGGCCAAACTAGTGCTGGCCTTTGACCCTTGTAAAGGTTTTCAAGCAGATGTCAAGGCCCCAAGTCAATAAAGCTCTTTTGTTTCAACAATGTGACAGCTCAGTCATAATGTACTTTAAATCAAGAGGACTCAAAATCCTTACAACATATTACTAGAGAGACAGAATTTACTAAACATTTAGATTATTATAGTGCAGCATAAATGTTCAAATACATATTTATCGGCAAATATGAATTTTCAGTGCTTGTCTGAGTTATTATCAAGTCATATTAATTCCTGTCACACAGTTTTAACTGCCATTACAGGACTGCAAATATGTGACATTCAATGTTTACCACCATTCAGGTTAGGAACTCTGACACACTATATCACTCTCATATATAAATAAGCTGGGAGTCTACCTCACCCACTTTTTCTATTTAGTATTTTCTATAAACCTTCTGATATGGATGCAAATTAAACCAGTGTTCGGCCAAGATTCTTAGGAGCAAAACCCAGGATGTTCATCAATTGTCTGCTCTTAGTTTTTATGGAGTGTTGAAGTTATTTCGAGCATTCATGCTATATTAACTGACAAGATCTAGACTATGGGGCAGGAGAATACAAGAGGCACAAGAGTAGAGCAGGCAAAAACTACAGGTGGAATATCAAGGATGCCCAGTGTTCACAAAATTCCAGATGTCTTAAGCCACAAAGCAAGGAAACAAGACATTTTACCTGTATTTTTTTAAAAAAACTTTGTTTGTTTTTAAGTAAGAATTCTAATACGAAAGCAGAACAATTACCACTGTCAGAAAAATACTGCCTTCCGCAGTAAGTCAACATTTGATGATTTAAACACACCAGGAAGTCTAAACCTACAGCACTTCAAGCAGGGAATATTTGGGAATAAAGCTAAACCAGTGGTTAAGAAGGCTGCAATTCCAAGAGCTGCTCTGAAATCTTCATTTATTTTAGCAAGTAGTCAACAAAAGGCTTCAACTCTGTACACAAGATGGAACAGGACTGTAGACATCAAGACACCATGTGCCCATCCCACCTGATACAACGGGTGGGATGTTTGAATACACAAGCATCTATGCACGCCGATTGCTTTAAAACGGAACCTGTTTAAAAGTATAACGCCATTTATGTGGCTGAACATTTAGATAAAAGAAGAAATGCTTGAAAGACACCTGTCCCAATCCAGAAATGGCAGTAAGTGCAAAGGAAGTTTGGACTTGGTGAATACTCTTCCAGATGAAGTCCCATGTGCTGTGTGGAGAAAATCCTTGTAACCAGAGCTATTGGATATGTGATCATATGTGTGTGTGTGTGTGTGTGTGTGTGTGTGTATAGTGTGAGTGAGTGAGAGAGCAAGGGCAACAGCACTTATTCCAGGAACTCCCTCTTATCCTCAACAGGTGACTAATACTTCCATGCTTGATAGTACCTACCATCTGTTTGGCACAGGAAATCTTCACATACAACAGCCTGTGGATTGAGGCCAATAATAGAGAAGAAATAGATTTTTATAATCATAACACAAAGCTGGGAAATTGCTGTCTAAAAATGAGTTCCAAAGGATGACATATTTTTAAAGTATAGCCCATCTTCTGAAAACTCAGGATGGGTAACAGTAATTTTTAAACCACCATACATTTCTGTCCCCAAAGGACTCACAATCTATGTAATTTAGAGGATTTTTTTTTATTGGGGGGGGGATCCAAACAGTTATAATTAAAATATTGATTTGGTTAAAATTAACAAGATGCACAATTTGTTCTCATTTCAGAATTCATTTTTACCCCCAATATTTCTTTGTCCCCTCTCCTCTCAAAGTCCTTCATAGGTGCTTCTCACCAGCTTTTAAAAATTAGTTCTAAAAGTTGCATCATGGTGGTTAATAAAGCAAAGTTTTCCATCCTAAATATACAGTTTCTCATTTAAAAAGACAAAAGCATTTTTACTGTCCAATCTGTTTTAATCTTACAAAAATAACTGGTTTTTTCTCCATTTTCTTGGAATTCTTAATTTTGTTTAATGGATGCACAACTGCAGTAATACCTGTTAAGAGGATATCAATGTTAGTAAGCCCTAACAGGCTTGACTTTATAAAAATAACGATCTCCAGGTTCATTCAGACAGTGCTGCAGTACAAATACATGGTGAATTCAGGAAGCAGAGCTGAACAACGCTGTGATTTACTAACTGCTGCAATTCACTCGTAGCCCCATTGCCACTAACAAATCACAACAGTATCCTAATGAAAGAATACAGTTCAAAACCCACACTTTGGCGGCCTTCATAAAACTACCACCAAAAAGTATCTTAAACAAGAAAAACCTATGGAAAGCTATGTTGCTTAGCAACCAGCCTTGCGTTGCTAGGATGCACTCCTTTAACAAGCCATCATGAATGCTAGCAGAGTGCAAGAATAATTTGGTATGAACAAAGCCTACAAAAAAAAGACGGGGACTTAAGTGCGTCTGGTATACCCTCGGAGAACAATGCAGCTGCCAAACCAATCTGGAAGCTCCGACATCATTGTTCCATAAACCCTGCAATCTGCTCTGACTGGAGGAAGTATATTTAATGGGCAACACTTTTAAGATTGGCTGGAAAAAGTTTAGGTTGGCTCATGTATCGCAATAGTAATATACTGAGATAATGGCTCACTCGCCAAACCCATGCGCTGCGAAATGCTTCCTGGGCCCTGAAAATAACATCACCTGGAAGCAACTACCATTGGTTTCCATTGTAACCCATTTAAGGTGTAAGCATTTTTCGTCTGATCCAGAGTAAAGTCAGTTAAGAGATGCGGACCAGAAAAGGAAGCCTATTTTAGAAATAAACTTTCACTGGAGTTTTCAGCATTTGGAAACCTTCTAAGAGAATGTGAAATGGCTACTAAATGAGGAAAGAACATGGCATTTACAAATTCAGCCATTGCATACAAGTCATATATCTTCATCCAGGCATTACAAAGAGGGCTTTTTATAATTAACGTGCAACTGTATGCTTAATATACCTCAAAGTCATGCTAATAATACATTTGACAACAGAACTAAGGAAATGTAATGAACAACATGCTTGTACTCAGACATTCAAACATTTTTTTGAGGAGATATGTACTGATAAACAGCTAACAAACCAACACAAATAGAAAAGCATAGCATTTTATTCTGACATTAAGAACAACCCCTTTTTGTGCAGCAGAAGGCTGCACATGTTTACTCAGAAGTATGCTCCACTGATTTCAACGGGATTTACTAGGAAGTGCTAAGTATTATAGCCTTAAGGTAGTTATCTATTGAGAGTCCACTGCAAATAAAACAATGATGCCATGGCTTCTATTTCCCAAACAGCAATCCCACTGGTACACCTCTATTCCACAGCTGTGTATTTTATCTCTTCCAAGAAATCTGCAGCTGTAACTTTACACAAGAAATTTGCAGCTGCATCTCCATAAGATGTTAGCCTTTGGAAACAACTTCTGATGCATTATATGATATATAATTACCTCCAATGAAACCTTAAGTCACAAATGAATGCAGTGGGGTCAATTGCCCATATACTGAAAAGCAGGGGAGCACTTGTCCAGTCACATCTTGAAAGTGGCCTTATTGGGATAAACTGAAATCCTGACTTGAATTCACAGGGATGTGCACTAAAATGATTACTTAAAATTTAAGCCCAGTTACCAGGTTTTATCGACATTTTTGCCTCGAGTCAAGAAAGGCAAGTGCTAATCAGTATGTTGGAAAGTAACAACATCAAGTAAGTTCATGGAAATATGTGTCATAACTTCCTGGCTTGTCTATTGCTTTTCAGCAGTAAATGTTCCCACTAATCAACGATGCTAAGAATATTAGTATACTTTAAATGATATGTTTTGCTGGGGAAAGGAGGGATCGCTCAGGTTATGCATTATTAAAATAGCCAAGACATTGTAACAATGCAAATCAAAATAATAAATATGTAATAAATATCTGCTGCACGACTTTATGTATTTAATTACCATTGTATTTCAGAGAGTGATGCAGACAACAGCCCTCACTCTAACAAAGGAAGGATGTCCCGTTGAACAGATTGGTTAATGCTCTAGGGCAACAGATGTCTACTGGAACTGCAGGAGACCAGCAACTGGTGGCCTGCCCATCTTCTGAAAACTTTCAATAGACTTATGCATATGTTCACACAATAGGGCATTTGGTAGAAATGCAAACCTCTTTTTAACCCTTTCAGGTGTCCCCTCCCTGGAAGATCTCTCTCTCTCCCCCCCCCCCACCCTTAGAGGAACTCTGGCATTGGCTCAAAGATTAAAGTGTTAAAAGTGTTCTTCAGCCTAGTGTCTGAGCCCAAAATATAAAACAGGCTGAACAGCAAATCAAAACCACCAGAAAAAATTCAACACACACACAATATATATATATGACACTTACACATACTCTACATCCTCCCTGCACCTTCATGAAGCTGGACTAAATTCTTTGACCATAAAATAATTTATGTTGTTACATGAAGGTTAATTTAATTTATCACAAAACCATCCTTTCAACACAGGTAACTGGTGTTCTTCCAGCTGCTCATTTTTACTAAGGATAACGTTTATCGAGTCAGCCAAATGCTACCAAAAAAATAATCAAATTCACTTCTAATGATTTTTTTTTAATTGCCCATTAGCTATGTACAAGCTTCTGGTAATGTGTCACTCTTATTTCTCTTACATTTC